AAAAAAAAAGAGAGACAAGCCTTATTTCTGTGTGCATATTTACAATCCGGTCCCCAAGTACATGCACCATTGACTTCGTAGGGGCACTCTTCTCGCAGTTTTCCAGATTTATCGCGAGGAGAGGGTCGACTCAAACGTGACTAAAAAGATATTCCTTTTATCAAACTTGCTACTCTTTGAGTGACGCAATTTCATTTTTTTTATTTCGTGATGAAAAAGAAAATAGAGCATGGACGTAAAAAGTATAGCTCATGGACAATATGAAGGGGTTCTCAATTCACAAGAATAAAGTAAAATTTGGATAAACCACTATTCAAAAAGTAATTTTCTGAAGTTTTATTGAATTTTTCTAGTGAAACGTTACTTTTATTATAGAAACCCATTAAAATATGCAGCAGATAACTACTACTAAGGACCTTAAATTCTAACATTCGATAGCGCACAATTTAGGCGATCCATGGAAAATAATTGGAAATTCTGGGAGAGTCAAAATTAAGATAATCTCACCTCAATAGGTAATTTATGTGATTTGGGCATATCAGCCACGCCATCGTCTTCATCGCTATCATCGATTTCCCCCTCCTCTTTGTCGCTATCTTTCTTGTTCTTGTCATTCTCATCACTTGAGTCATCTATTTCACCGTCCGAGCTCTTAAATCGCATGGGATAAGACCATGAGCCACATTTCCGGTTGCGATTAGAAGAACTCAAACTTACTTCTTCTCCATCTTCAGTTGCATTTGAACGTTGTCCTTCTTTTTCGTGATCATCGCGCTCTTCTCCTTCTTCCATCTCATCGCCTTTATCGGGAGCTTGATTTGATCCCTCATCATAGTCCAAGTCCAAAACATCTTCCATTTTCTCAGATGACGCGTGCCCATGGATCGCTTCTTTTACACCGTCCCCATGTTCTAAAAAATAATATTTACCAGAAAACTTAGTTAAAACACTTAAAATTACCATGACTATCATCTCCGCTGCTTTTTGAGCCCGCATCTGATCCGCCATGATGTGAGCTCTCATCCAAATCACAGTGCAACTCCTCTGCCATTCCCCGTCACACGTGAGGGTCTAAACACTTTGCATATTCCACTCAAATGTGAAACATTTTGCTTTCGCAGAAACTTCATTCTCAAATCAATAGGAACTTTCTATTCGCTAAGATAAAAACAATGCGTGAAGCAATGTTCTGCCTTCCTCGCGAACTTGAGTGCAGTTCAAACTCTTTCAGCTATGTGTCGAATGTGTAATTGTCCAAAAAAGGGGGCGACAGCCAGTACGCTACCTATTTACTTACTAGAAGAACAAGGGAGAAGCAGGATTCCTACCTAAAGTTACTTCCACATTCTGCAACGTTCATCTTACCAAAATATTGAAGTTAAAACAAACAAGAATCGTTAGTGCATCTGATGTTAACTGAATTCTATGCATTTTGAAGCAAAAAATAAGCCTATCTATCAACAGCCAATCTAAATCAATAAATAAACGTTAGATAATAATAGCCTGAAGTCAAACTGAAACTGAGTTTGATTGCAGGGTAAATACCCCGTAGTAAAACATTACAATGTTCCTCCCTTTTTTACCCCTTTTTACCAGGATAAACAAATAGTTTTTCAACGTAGGTTATGGGAAGAACTTCAAGATGTGACATGGTAAGAGACAGCTGGAAAATTTGAAATAAACCGCTTCATTTACTTGTCTCGATTCGTGTAAAGTCGTAGAAACGTATAGGTTACGTCGATTTGGGACTTTGTTTGTAATGCACTTTAACAAAAATATCGCAAAAAACGAGATAACGATCTCATCAATGGCGTAGTACATGCACTTTCGCGAATACGTGGCTGGCAGTGTACTAAAGAGCTTTTCCCAACATGATTTCCAATGGATTGATAGGATTAATGAATTAGGCAAAACAGCAATACTTTGTGCTAAAGATTGCTCAAAAGCATTCTTGCGAGAAAAATTCCAAAATCATTTGCATCTAGCCTTCCACGCAACGGACGGTTGCTATGCAGTCCCGTTTTCACCTATTTGGCCCCTGAGAAATAGGTCACTTGCAGATAACAGTGTATGAGTACTCTAATGCCATTATAAACTGATATAAATTCTCCAAAGGTCCTGATGAAGGATTGTAAATTGTACAAAACTCAACAGAATTATACCCAGAGTGGTGAACATTGTCCATTTGCGGAATAGCAGAGCTATACGCAGGCAGGCGTACACGCAAATACGTGTGTAA